CTTCCCTTCCCTTCCCTTCCCTTCCCTTCCCTTCCCTTCCCTTCCCTTCCCTTCCCTTGTGTTAGATTAACACATAATACTTGCTATAGATCACTGGGTGACGTTCAAAGTTAATTGGAGACTGAAACTTGGAGGATTCTGTATTTCAAAAATTAATATATTTTATACTTCATTTTCTTAGTCATCTCTGTCTAGTTGCACAATTGCCATTTTACATTTGTATAGATCTCAGGATAAATAAGATTTTGTGTTCTTTTAGCCATAGTCAGTAATTAATTATTACAGATGGGAACAGGGGAATGTTATTTCCCATATTCCTAGGCCTGAATGCTGTTCAACTGAGATGGATTATCACTCACCTCAGTATTTGGTGTATGTGTATGTATATGTATATGTTCAAAACAACTTTGAAAAGCTATTGTGCATCTGTAATTAATTACTCCTGACAATTCTGTGACCTGTTTTTTTTCCAGAAGTGAGCACCCCCTTGCACAGCTGTATTGCCACTCAATAATGGAACATCACCATTTTGATCAGTGCCTGATGATCCTGAACACACCGGTAAATGTTTCGTGGTTGTATTTACAGGGACAGCATGCCTAATTTAGTTTTTGAACAATCTCCAGTAGTATATTTTAACCCTATTCTAAGCTTTTCTAGGAACTACTGAGCTTTTCCAGTGCTGCCTGATAAGCTCAGGAGACCTTGCTAATATCCCGCTAACACATACTAGCTCGACCCCAGAGAAAAAAGAATATTTTTACACTTAAGAACTCTGCTTAATATTTCTAAGGAGCCATAAGCACTCGTAGTATTAGCAAGATTTCCAACCTCGTGGAAGCAGTGAGCTAATTTAAAAATTTAAGAACATATTATGGGTGTTCTAACAAAATAGTTAACATGGGGAATCATAAAATACTCATTTGTCTGAAGCAAAGTAATGAGGTTGTTCCTTGCAACCCCTCTAGCTGACTACTTTCCACCTTCTCAGTTCATCTTTATTATTTCAGGGAAAAAAAGCACTGTCTTGTGACTCCTACAATTCTTATTTTCTAAGAATGCCTGAGGGTCTAGTGTTAACTAAAGCTCAACATGTAAATAAAAGTAGTCCTTGAGGTGGTTCTACAGCAAGTTAGCTTCCCATTTTTAAAAATTAAAACAGTATAAAATGTAATTAAGGAGGCAAGATACTATGAAGTAAAGACTTGTACAGGTATAATTCCTAAGGACAAGACTTGTGCATCAATTTTTATTCCCTTTAGTGAACTTTGATAATAACCAAACAAAAAGTTAAAAATATTTTCAGCTCAAGATGAAAATCCTATTCCTTCAATTACTTTTGTTTCCATGTTTTTCTCAGTTGGAAGTTCTCTTATTTCCTTTTCGTTACAGGCTTAAATACAGATATCTGGAACAAGATTTTTATACTTTGCCATGAGCTACAATGTTATTCTCACTGCAAAGTGTCAGTGAAAGTATATTAGCAGAACATATTTAAATAATACATCTTTGTTGATGAAGCTCTCCCAGGGCCTGCATGAAGTTAGAACAGCATAAGGATTTGATAGAGCACAAAGAGAGAATTAATATCAGGCAAATTCTATTCCTTTTTTTTTCAAGAAATTTGCAACAATTTGTGTGTACTGTGTAGAATTTAACAAGAGCCTGTCACAGTTACTGTATCATTATAGTCAATGCAGTCTTGTCATGAATGTTCCACTGTTTTCTTTTATACAAAGGGCAACCAGATTCTCAGCGCTCTTTCTGTTGAAGAATACAAGGCAACACTGAAAATCATCAAACAAGCTATTCTTGCCACAGACTTAGCACTGTACATAAAGTAAGTTGCCATTATGATATTGTAATCAGACTTTATGCTTGGACGTGTGATTTTTTTCTTTGTTTTTTAAGAATGTAAAAGTGTTCTAATTTTCATTTTCAGGCATTTAATAAATAATGAATGTTTGTATGCTTTTCAGAAGAAGAGGAGAGTTTTTTGACCTTCTGAGGAATAATCAGTTTAGCCTACAAGACCCTTATCAAAAGGAACTATTTTTGTAAGTTTTTTTTAAAGGACATTATTCTAGTCTAGCTGGTTTTTTCTAGAATTAGCAATGAGATGCTTTGTTTTCATTGGGTGATCAGGCTGGGCTGTAAGGGAACAAAAATAGCACAAATGTGGGTGAATAACTTGCTTCTAATGATTTGGTAAGGCCTCATATTATTTGCCAAACAAGGTTATTTCCCAGCATGACTTGACAAAATACCATATTGTTCTTTGGATGAAAGTCGATTGTTTAAAAGCACTGATCTGTTAAAATTGGCATTCTTAGCTTTCAGAGAAAATATTTATTTTATTTTGCATGAGAATGGTTAGTTTACATTTGCAACAGAAGTTAGTCCTGCAGCAAGAATCAGAGATTCATTATGGATGTAGGACACCTTTGCTTCATAGCATGCTGTATATAAAAAACGAGAATAGTTTCTATGATCTTATGCATGTGGCCTGATGGGAGCTTTGACTTTTTCAATACTGACCGATCAACATACCATGATCTGTTGCAACATATTATCTTGCTTGTTAATGCTCATGATAAATGAATGACTGAGCTGTCACAAATAGACATTGAGGATAAAGATCTGGCCACAGGCAGAGACTGTAAATTGCACAGATCTGGTTTCAGAACACTGAACCTCAGCAGTTCCTCAAGTCTTTCCTTGTTTAGTGGTACACATTTTTATAGCATTCCAGCATTGGCAGCAGCAGTTGTTATTAAATGTATAAGTCATCAAAAAGGAAGCAATTTTGCCTTTAAATTAATTAATTAGATCAGAGAGAGAAGCAAAGAAATATGTGATATACAGTGATATATAATTATGTAAATCAGTGAGTGCAATGGTCAAGGCTACTTGTAGGACATTCACGTATGTTTTAAGCATGGACTACGTTAGGGAGATGTTTCCAGCTAGGCTCCTAGAACATTCCTCCACAGATCCAGTCATCTCTAGCTGCTGAATCCCAGCCTACCTTTTGGCACAGCAACCCATTGGGTGCCAGAGGCACAGCAGGAATGCCAAAAGGCTACTGTTAGCCTTTTCCAGTGGCAATTATAGACCTGGGTTTCTACATGCAAACCCAGGTACTAGGTTGCATTTTAAGAGAAGCAAGAATGCACTGGGGAATGCCATAAGTTTGCAAAAGTAGAGAAAATCTTTGAGGAAAAAAGTAAGAGGTTAAAACAAAACTTCAGCTATACCAGTGTTTCTCAAACTTGACAACTCTAAGACATGAGGACTTCAACTCCCCAAATTCCCCAGCCAGCATGCTGCGAGTTGAAGTCTACACATTTTAGAGTTGCTAAAGTTGAGAAACACTGAACTATACTTTTTTTCTAATGAGGATCAAGAATGGCCACCAAAAACAGAAATCTGTGACTGATTAGAAGAGAGAAAAGAAAAAATGAATAGTAGAGAACATGGAGCTAGCAATCTGGAAAGGGGCCATGGCTGACTAGAGTAATGAGCTGGAACACTCCTTTCTGCAATATGTTAAGTCCCACTATAATGAATATTATCATTTGCAGCCATTCATGTTATGATGAATTTGTCATGTTTCCAAAGTTTTGTTTTGTTTTTTAAATGAAATTTGGGATATCAGAGATATCTTTATTTTGTTGCAGAAGTGAAATGCTTTTTGAAATGTATAAAAGTATGACCATATGGTTTCTACAGGGCAATGCTGATGACTGCATGTGACTTATCAGCAATAACAAAACCATGGCCAGTTCAGCAACGGGTAAGTGTCTACCAAGAGCCTGATCAGATTCCTCATTTCCCTGAACATGTTGTTCCTGCTGTTCCTCCCATCTGAACCCACTGTGCATTTGGCAAAGATATTAATTGCTGCCTAGTAGATTATTGTACAAACTGACATTGCAATAAAATATGACACATTGAAATCAGGGTAAAAATCCTTAGGACAGCCTTTAAAATAGTGCATAGTATGGCGTACATTTCATTTCATTTCATTTCATTTCTTTTTTCTGTTTTACCTTTAAGTCAGTCTTGACTCCTGGTGACTGCAATTTTCTTGGCAAGATTTCAGAAGTGGTTTATCATTGCCGCCTTCCTAGGGCTGAAAGAGAGTTACTAGTTCAAGGTCACCTTGCTGGTTTTGTGACTAAGGCAGGACTAGAACTCATGGTCTCCCAGTTTCTAGTCTGTTGTCTTAACCACTACATCAAACTGGCTCTCATTTTCATTAATTGTTATATACAGTAAATTCCATTTGCACTGTTGAGTGAAATTTATTTTAAATCTGGATCTTTGCCAATGGTTGGAAGCAAGAAGTATTTGAAAACATTATTTTATTGCATTTCATTTATAATCTGCCTTTTTTTCTGAGAGCTTAAGATGACTTAGTAGGTTTCTTCCCTAATTTTATACCACCGTGCCCTAGTGTGCCATTGGGGTTCAGGGAAAGAAGCTAGCAAAATTCAGGGAGCTCCGTGATCATACAGAGATTTGAACCTGGTTCTCATGCCGTCTTAACTACTATGCTACACAAGATACAAAGATTATTATCTGTTGATTATATTTACTGAAAAAGATAGCAAGCATTTATTTCTTCTTTTTTAAAAAAAAAATCATGTAGATTGCAGAACTTGTAGCTGCAGAATTCTTTGACCAAGGAGATAAGGAGAGAAAAGAACTTAACATTGAGCCCACAGTAAGTAGAAGCACAACTTTTTAAGCACATTTTGTCCTAGAAATTCATTTTACATAGATAGCATTTTTATCATTTCATACAGTCAAACATTTCTGTCGAATATAGCTAGAACTAACTCTGTTTCCTTTATTATTACAAACCAATCAGCTTATCAGTGAAATGTGGAATATGTAGAAGTTTCCAAAGTACCTTAACAACAACAAAAGCCCAAGTTTTCAACTTAATTGTGTGTTTTTGGGGGCTGTTAACTCCTCAGTACAGTGACCATCAGTATGTTTCAAAGTAACATTTATGGGGCCAATGGTGTTCATTTCAGATACACAATAAACTTCATCTGATTTCTCAGTAGTTGATTATTCGGCATTGATAACCTGTAATTAAATGTGTGTTCCTTCTCCTTTGTAAATTGCAGTGAAAAGAAATATGAATCTGTGGTATTGAATTTGTGCTGTCTTTCCATAGATTTAACTAGCCATTTGATACTGCAGTTGTACAATGAGGATAACATATATATAAAATGAACCTGAAAATAAGCATTATGGCTTAGCCAGCATTTCCAAGATTTATGCTTTCCAAGGATTATGCTCTATGTTAACTTTATAACACTGAAGGAGGTCACCAGAATTAGTGTGTTATTACAATGGAAACTTCTGAGACAGAATGTTGATATGAAATGTATTTTCTATAAAAGGGATTTCTTTTGGACAATCTGTATATATGCCCTACGACTTGAAAATACGTATGTATGTTTGCATGTATGTGTTTTCTTTATTACAAACCACTCAGCATTAACTTTAAACCATATGAAAAATGATCTGTTGAGACCAAAGGCATGATGAAGCCACATATAAGTGCATATTTCCATTTACATCCCTTTTTTTCCTGTTTCCCAAGATTTTTTTTTTCATGGGATTTTGACCTGGCTCATTTAACAATGTTATGGTAACATGGATGGGTTGAACCTCCTCAACAAAATTCCTACTTCACAATTAAATGAATTAGGGTTGAACAAAACTGGCTTACCAAGGCTGTGTAGGTTATTAAGACTGAACTGTGATTTGAATGCGGACCAACTTCTCCTGACTGAAAAGCGCAAAGTACTGGACATGGTCACATTTTGGATGCTCTATAACTAATCTTGTTTCAATCTTTGTATGATTTTTTTTCAGGATTTAATGAACCGAGAAAAGAAAAACAAAATTCCCAGCATGCAAGTTGGATTTATTGACGCTATCTGCTTACAGCTCTATGAGGTAGTTTACATGAAACTGTCGAAATGGTGTAATCATTTGTATCTGGGTTATATGTAAGTGCTGAATTGAAAACTACATTCTCTGTTCAGAAGGATTTAGGTATCAGCAGATGATGTTAATTACCTGTTGAAGACAAAGGCTTCAAAAACCTTAAAAGCATATTTCAAAGAAGTAGTTTATTTCAGAGTGAACAGCCAAACAACATTGGTTTCAGGGCCTAATGTATTCCTTTTAAGCAGGATGAGAGAGAGGGTCTCTCCCTAGCTCCGATTCCCCTTAGATTTAGATTTAATCTAATTCATGTTTCTGTTTTGCAGGCATTAACCTACATATCGGAGGCCTGTTACCCTTTGCTTGAGGGCTGCAGGAAGAACAGGCAGAAATGGCAAGCTTTAGCCGAAGAGCAGGAAAATAACTTGATCATTGGAGAAAGCAATCAGCCCAAACGGAACTGAAATAGACATTCATTAGGCTATATTGGTTTACAAAGAAGATATTTATATATAATAATTTGGAGATACCTAATGTTTTGCTAGACACTGTAAGAAATAGATGCATAATTTGCCACTGCTGTATTTTAAATAATAAGAAACATCTATTTTTGCACAGCATTCAAAAACACAATATGAATTATTTTTATGCAGTTTGATGTATCATAATTGTATATTTCCAATAGATCTACAAAAAGCAGGTCCAGTTAGCCCTGCTCAGTTTGATAGGGTGGTATGGAAGGGGAGAATTTTTAGGACTGCTTCAGAAAACTCTTGGTACAGAGTTGTATATAGTTTAGTTTTGGTCAATGGCCAGTAATTTAAAGATTACTGTATGTGGCACCTTTTGGTTTTTTTATATTGTCTGTTTCTGTAAATGTAAATAATGAAAAAGCAGTGTTG